AGGGCACACACACACACACACAATGTCATTGACGAATGTGTTGGGTTTTCCCATCGTAGTCGTTGAGTATCACAAAAGCTATAAAAAAAAGTCAACCAGAGACAAAGATCTCCGTATAGCCTTAACACACGTTTGAGGCAAGTGCTGTTAGCAAGCACCTGTGGGCGTGGGCACGGCACACGAGGGGGTGGGTGGCCAGCACCACGTCCGGCCTCCTTTGTCTACCTAGCGGTGATGTTTACACAGCACACCAGGTCGTCAATCGAGGCTGAGTCGGCCTAGCGGATGCCCAGGACTGGTTGAGAAAATCGTCACCGGTGTTGGCCGTGAACGGGAATCGCACTCGGGTGACCAGGGTCGTAGCGCAGCCCGCTGACCGCTACACACACAAACTATTGAAAGGTCAACCCACACACAGACTCGGACTCTAATTGAAATGCGTTGACCGAATTGGCTGGTGCTTGGTTCACAACGAAAGCAAAAATGGGAAAGTCCGTAACTTTCCGAAAGTAAGTAACTTTCCGAAAGTAAACCACCCCACCGCAACCACGCCGACACTTCATCCCGAAGGAACCCAACCCCGAGGTGCCCTCCACCCACCCACCCACCCCCTGCCCTACGCCCGAGGCGGTGAGATTTCGCTGCCCTCTAGTGGACAAACCTGGAAATAAATCGATGCCGTCGCCCAGTAAGATTTTATCATTCGGAATTGCGCCGCGTGTTGTTCGGCACGAAGTCCGACGTTTTGTTTTACGTGCCGGGGAACTGAACAAGGTTCGATCCCTGGAGAAAGCTCCAGGCGCGTGGAGCGAAACGTCGGACCGCGTGCCGAGCTACGCACGGTAACGACTCGAGAACTCGTCGGAGAAGAACACATCACGACAGCTGCAGCACACGCAAGTGATACGAGATAAAACAACAAAGTAGCCAAATGCTGTCCCCATGACCCTCAACCCTTTTTGACACTGCCAAAAGCCTAAAGAACAATGAAAGATCAGCTGATACGACTCAACAAATCCTTTCAAATTGAATATTTAGGAGTGACTCTACAGTGTTCGTTGCTAATTCTTCGTTTGCTGCACTTGCTGCCATCGTGTAGTCTGTGAGCTGCTTCATTTGCACCGTGGAACCTCGCGTTGTGACATCGTCAGTAAAGCCCATGGGCCCCTTTTTATTACTCGCTTTCATTTAACTCACTCTGTCTGTTGTTGTTGTTGTCATTATCGTTGTTGTCGTTGTTGTATTCTCTAATTTTGTAACTAAATTTTAACCCACTTCCCAATGTGGTATCGACTGCGAACTTGGTATACTTATGTCATACTGATGACAATATTCTATCATAAAAAATACATATTTTTAAACGTTATTTTTTATGTTATGTTTCGGCTTGGGTCTAATTGTCCACACTCAACTGACGTTGGCTGTAATTTGGCCACAATCCCTTACGTTATGGCAAGCTTCGGGGCCACTTCCTGGAGTCGTGGAGTTCTTCCATTACTAGCACATTTCATAAAAGCGTGTTTTTTAAAAGTTGTTTTTAATATTACTGGCTAAAATGCGAAGCTAATCGCAAAGAATGGATGGAGACATCTCTCACTCGGACGCCTTCACGGCCGCCCCGAGACCTCCCCGAGGCACAAATCAGACTTTGGTGTCGCAGCGGTTTCTAATATGAACCGCATAAAGTGTTACCTTCATTAGGCAATTCACGTTGAAAGAATAATTATATTTTAGTTGTTTTAAACACAAGACAATTGATAGAAAATTATTTTTATGAGAATTTTTTGTCATCTCCAGCTGCTTGGTGGGGCCGCGCCCCAACGCCCTTAGTGGACGAACCACGCCTGGGACTAAAAGAACATCAAAATAAATATTACATCTTATGAATGCGTACCTTCATTAATCAATGTGTTCCTCTGTCTGCCTCTCGATGATGATAAGATTACTACTTGCAATACTCGGTAAATTGTCTGTTGGTGATGTATGATGACGTTAGAAGGTTCGCCTGTCAACTTTAGCGACTGTCTGTGGGTCCTCATTTGCCAGTAAAAAATATGGTAATTGGTTCTTTACCCTTCTATCTGGCAACAAAACTGACACCTTTTTGCAAGGAGTCATGTTTGCATAGACCGCAATACCTGCAGTCATAATACAAACAAAAGAACATAACTCTGATAATGTGCACTGTCCTTGAAGTTGATTGGTCCACACCCGAGACAGCTTTCCTTCGAGCCTAGAGTTGTGCGCCTTTTGGCGTCATCTGGTCCAACCCATATGAGACTAGGCTCGAAGGAAAGCTGTCTCGGGTGTGGACCAATCAACTTCAAGGACAGTGCACATTATCAGAGTTATGTTCTTTTGTTTGTATTATGACTGCAGGTATTGCGGTCTATGCAAACATGACTCCTTGCAAAAAGGTGTCAGTTTTGTTGCCAGATAGAAGGGTAAAGAACCAATTACCATATTTTTTACTGGCAAATGAGGTCCCCATAGTGTAGATGCTTGCCCCGAGCTCTCATACTCTGATGGTGCATTGTCCTTGAGTTGTGCGCCTTTTGGCGTCATCTGGTCCAACCCATATGAGACTAGGCTCGAAGGAAAGCTGTCTCGGGTGTGGACCAATCAACTTCAAGGACAGTGCACATTATCAGAGTTATGTTCTTTTGTTTGTATTATGACTGCAGGTATTGCGGTCTATGCAAACATGACTCCTTGCAAAAAGGTGTCAGTTTTGTTGCCAGATAGAAGGGTAAAGAACCAATTACCATATTTTTTACTGGCAAATGAGGTCCCCATAGTGTAGATGCTTGCCCCGAGCTCTCATACTCTGATGGTGCATTGTCCTTGAGTTGTGCGCCTTTTGGCGTCATCTGGTCCAACCCATATGAGACTAGGCTCGAAGGAAAGCTGTCTCGGGTGTGGACCAATCAACTTCAAGGACAGTGCACATTATCAGAGTTATGTTCTTTTGTTTGTATTATGACTGCAGGTATTGCGGTCTATGCAAACATGACTCCTTGCAAAAAGGTGTCAGTTTTGTTGCCAGATAGAAGGGTAAAGAACCAATTACCATGTCTGTGGGTCGTTTAACACGTGGGCTTTCGGGACCAATATCTATAATAGAAGTGTTTTTTATATTCTTAGGTTTTTTCGGTAAAGTCACGTAGGTAAAAAAGCATTAAAAAATAAAATAAAAATCACGACGTTTCGGAGGCAACACAAGCTTCCGTCTTCAGGTGGGACCGTCACAGCCACGACAGCTGTGACGGTACCACCTGTAGACGGAAGCTTGTGTTGCCTCCGAAACGTCGTGATTTTTAAATTTTATTTTACTTTTTAATGTTTTTTACCTACGTGACTTTACCGAAAAAACCTAGAAATATGAATCATTGCAGTCACGAAAGCTTCAAATCTAGAAGAAGTGTTTTTTTTTTCTCCACAAATCTGGCTGTCGCCTGATGATGCTAGTTCTAATTACTGGCAAAACGTCGTACTAAAATTGTAAATGATGTGGATTTATTGTGCGCTACGAGTAACGAATTGGCACGTTCTGTTTACGTGACAAACCTTACCAATTGGCTGTGTCGGGTGGTGGCGGGTTTAACGACACATTTATATTTACGCGCTCTAACCCCCCAAAAAAACCTCTTATGTCTGTGGTTCATTTGGCGACGTTCTGCTTCGGAGATTTGGCACCACTTTGCCCACGAGCGACAAATATAGCGGCTTTTTGGGGTCTAGAACATGGTCAGATGTTCAAGTAGACTTTGTTTAACCAGGTGAGGACTCAAGACATCAGAATAGGAGTCTCATTTGCAAGAGTAGCATGATGGGGCATCAGTCTGCCAGTTGCGGGAGACGATTGCTCCATCTCTCTGGCTTCTCCATTGAACTGTGAATAGGGCCATTGGCCGAAACGTCGCTAATTATATTTGTATTTATTTTGAAGGCGGTGTTATTGACATCAGTGTTATATTGATGTTTGCTATGTGTCATCCCGGTTGGGTATTTATGCGATGTGGGGACGATTTGAGGTGTGTGGTAATGATCTTCTTACTCAGCTATGCTTCAGAGCTGACAGCTATATTTTGTTTTCTAGTTAGCAAGTAACATTTCTTGACTTTAGAGGAGTGATTCTCAGACGCCGTGGAACTTTCGCGACCTTCGCGGCCACACCGAACCAACACCTCACTGCGGGCACCGTCATCCAACAGTGAAATGATCGTGGTTGATGATGATGCTTGCTGTGTGTGTGTGTGGACGCATGCCACTTTCTCGAGTGATCTACGCCGCTACGGACGGACTTGGTGCCGTCACGGAAATGTGGATTTTCCCACAATCGCTTCGTGTGTCAAACGCGTGTGGCTCGGATTTATGTTATCGTTTGACTTGCATCCCACTGGGATTTTTGCACACAGCGTTGAAATGCGGTGTTTTTTCTGGACGACTTTGCAGTTTTTTCTAGGATTTTTGTCTGTTGCGTGTAGTCACTTTAAGATGTTTTTGTTCATGTTTTTGTTTTGTTGCGGTTGCACCCGAGTTAAGAGCCGCATGGCTCACAAGGTTATACCTAATAAATGGGCTAAAGAAAGAAGTGAATTATTTTGTCCTTTGAAAAACGAGACACATTTTTTTACTGTTTGGCCGTGTCGGGTGGTGGAGGGTTACGACACATTTATAAATAATCTGACCCAAAAACCTATATTATCAAAAACAACGAATCACTCAGTGGGGACGTGGCACCTGGGACGAGGGTGCCACGATTGGCGAGATGTGAGCTCTCGCCTGGCATGCAAGGACCCTGACGCCCGCTGTATATTTGCGTGTCTCTCTCTGTCCCTCCATGGTCGTGGTTTTTCCCTTGGCACTTTAGGGTCAACACGCGTTTTAGACATTTTGGCTGCTGTAAATGTCCACACGATAACGCCAATTCGTTCACATATCATTGGTGGCCAGGTCGCTTCTGAAACAACGACTCATCCATATCGCTCAAGTGGGTCCTGGTTAAGATAAAAGACTGCAGTTTAGTTTGACTTCGCTGCTGCTGCTACTGCTTTGCTAGATTTGTGTAGCGACACCTAGTGACGACCCTAGGAGGTTTTAGTGACTTCGCGTTGAAGGAGGAGGGGTCCCAATTCATCTGCCCCGGCGCCGAGTACATACCGGGGAACATCCGCTCGTCTGGTGAGGCATCTTCTCCCGTCATTTAAACACACAACTACAATTAACGCTACGCCAATTAACGCATACTAAGTCGCCGAGGGCTTCAAGCCATCGCTCTGGACGAGTTCCCGCACCATCCGCGGCGAAATTCGAGGCCATTCGAGAGATTTGGCCCCGGCGTATCCACTAGGCCGCGGCGAGGCGCGCCGCTTGACTAGATGGCCCTACCGACGAGGTCGCACCTCGCCCGGCCGGGCTGGGTCTGGCGCGCGGGTGGAGACTCGGCGCTCGGCTCGCGTGCGTGGTTTAGGAAATGGGCATGAGAAGAAGAGGGTTTGTTAATCTCCGTGGAGTTTGAGTTAAAGATGTCGGAGCCAGTGTTTGTGAGGTCTAGTGTTGTGAGATGAGCACTCGTAGCTCGCAATAATTATTCATCGTCGTCATCGGGAATGGTCTATTCACTGCTGGATGAAGGCTTCTCCCCAAAGCCGTTGCCATCCCTCGCGAGCCTTCGATGATAAGAAGCCACCTCGTACCTGTACACGAGCTAATTTAGTCGCTCTATCTCCTCGGAATAACAACAATGTGCTTTTCCATTCAAGATTAAAGCCTCGCAGAGTTTCGGGACTCGACAGGGGCCTACACGGGGCTATTTGACAATTTCATAACTGAGTGTGCTCCTGAGATGAACGTTGTTGCATGGTTGGTGTGTTCGGGACAAGGGCTGAGTGTATTAAAACATGTGCCCGAATGTATGTTTTCACAGCACTTTGCCAATCTACTGCTGGATGAAGGCCTCACCGCGACAGGCACGGTGTGGGTGTTGTTTGACCATACTTCACCACGCTGGTCAGTGCGGGTTGATGAAGGATTGGGGAGGGGTCCAAGACGGATTCTCAGATATCACTCACCACGGATACGAGCCGTGGGCTGAGAATCAATACCTGTTAACCCCTTATCAGTGCCTACCTTATTAGAGACCAATTAAGACCTTAGTGGTCACCCCGTGCCCTTATAAAACTCAACGTTCATCCTACAAAGCCCGTATTTCAACGGCTGTATGGACCTGAAAACTCAATTTCCTTGTATAAGAATACGGGTAAACCGTATGGGTTAATATGTATGATACTCCAACTTAAGGTAGTTAGGCTCATAGGGCAGCGGACGAATATCCACTTAGCCACCGTTCCACTAAATAGCATTAAAGACGATGTTAATTATTTCCCCCGTAAATTAAAAACCAAGTGGAACTTCTCACTTTGCTATATACATTAGTGCAGTATAAATTGAGCGAAAAATAGGCCCATGTACTTTGAAAAGGGCCATTGTCCGAACCGTCAATATCACTTATAGTTTCCTTTTAAGGCCGCAGCGTTATTGGCGATTATGTCGAGTGTTTTTTTTGCGCACCACTGCCAACGCAGAATCACCAAACAATTTGAATTAAACTGGGTTCGTTAACGTTAAATCGGATTCCACAGGAGGCCGTGTTTGTTTTTGCCAACTCGTACGGCTAAATGCAATCTCGTGTGTTCTGGTTGTACCGCGTGATGTCTGACGTTTTCACTCAATGTACTGGGAGCTACTTCAGGAGCGGAATATAGAGGGATGAGTTACATACAACACGTGGTACAACCCAAAAAGGAATTGGAGAGCTCTACGGCATAACCTGGAAAAGCTGTGCAGTAGTATCTAACTTGTTACTGTCATTGTTGACTAAAACCCTGTTGCCCACATGTGTATGTGTTCAGCTGCTAGGAGACTACTGAGGACTCATTGAGCCGTACCAGAGGTGCTCGGCCCAGCCCGGGGAATGGGGGCGAAGGGCGAGCCCCGGCGGCCATGCTGGTACTGGGACAAGCGCGACCTTGTGCGGACACCATCCATGCAGGAGGGCATGGACGCTGTCACGGAGTCGCGCTACCGCCGCGAGGGTGCTCGCTTCATCTTCGACGTGGGCACGAGGCTCGGGCTGTATCCTCTGTCGTTAGCGCCCGGTGGCACCAGTCTCTGATGACCGCTGCATGATGTGTTCACTTTGCAATTAATTTGAATCGCAACGTAATATTAATGCCTGCCGTGCTGCGGTAGTTGTCATTATAATTGCCCGCAAGGCTGGTCCACAATGCCATGCCACACTATGGCACCCTGCCATTGGGCAGAGGACTAAAAAGTTTAATGAGTTTTTTTCACTTTGTCTTTCTACGAATGGTTTTAAAAAGCGAGAGACTCACTGCTGGTGAGGAGATGCCTAATTACAGTGAAGTTCGGTGGTCGTTAGCCAAAACGGTAAAATATCCACCAAAGTGGTTTACAAGGGGTACTGTCGGGTGTCTTCACACAGCCATTTGGTAATTCCGTGGGTAATGAATCTAATTGAGTCGTCTGCAACGTTGAGTTTCCTGAGCTCCATGACAGGCACTACGACACACTCGCTACCGGCATGGTCTACTTCCACCGCTTCTACATGTTCCACTCGTTCAAGCAGTTCCCACGATACGTGAGTCTCCTGCGACGACAGCTCTCTCCAAATGCAACCGACATATTTCAGCTTTAAATCTAATTCCTAACCTTAGCCCATACATTTACTTTGCTTTAAGCAGTACATTAACCTACGTACCGTTGTGGAGAAGCATGGGTATTATGTAAAATACAATATTTGTTTTTAGTCCACCTAGTAGATTGATGTTTTACAGCAGAATATCTTAAATAATAATTAACCTCCCTTTGTCAATACACTGCTAGATGAAGGCTCCCAGCACCGTGTCAGGCATATGGGTTATATATTTACGGTGAAATGTGTTTTTCTGGTGAAAAGTTAGAAACAGTTGTACAGGCTCCGTTGCCCTTGTGTCAGGCCCCTCTACTGTGTGTGTCCTGTGTGGAATTAACCAGCTGTTGGGTCTGTGATGCGCTCTCTGCGCAGGTGACGGGCGCCTGCTGCCTCTTCCTGGCCGGCAAGGTAGAGGAGACGCCAAAGAAGTGCAAGGACATCATCAAGACGGCGCGCAGCCTACTCAACGATGTGCAGTTCGCACAGTTTGGAGACGACCCCAAGGCGAGCGACCACTGCCCTCTGCTGTGTGTCACATGCTCTGTGGTCGTGAACACATGTCGTTCATCATCACCAGCCATAGTCATTTCCAATCCATCGCCATCTCTCACAATCTTGCCAGTATAAACAAATATTGGTTCCTCTTGGTGAATGAATATGTATTACCAGCAGTGAACATGCTTATTTACCCCCTATTCGAGGTTATGGTTTGGGTTTATTGTTAGAGTTAGGGTTTTAGGGCGAGTTTTTTTTAGGGTTCAGGGTGCGGGGGTTTGGTGACCCAGGTCACTCTTGAAAATGAGACGGATATCCTGGTGTATTGGTGTCTCACCCAGTGAAACAAAATCAACAATTGAACTGTGTTTCTGCGAGCAGGAGGAGGTGATGGTGCTAGAGAGGATTCTCCTGCAGACCATCAAGTTTGACCTTCAGCTGGAGCACCCCTACCACTTCCTCCTAAAATACGCCAAGCAGCTCAAGGGTTTGTTCTCACCGCTGCACGTCGTCCACACACTTGCATTCATAGTCTCAAAAATACGTCTTGTCTTGGTTGTTGGGGAAAGGGAAGGGATGCCGGGAGGGAAGTCCCAAAGATACACACACAGGACACTGCTCGAGATGAGCAGCAGCAAGAAAGAGAGAGCACCAAATACAAAGGGGAAGGGGAGGTGGAATGACCCGGCCAAGATTCTGGCGATGAGAGAGGGGAGGATAGAGAGGGAGAGAGAAGGAATGATTAAGCGGGAGGGAGCAACTATTATTTTCACAGGGAGAGGGGAGTTGAGTTGGCAACACGTAAGTCACGTGATTTTACGAGAGGCGAGAGCTGATTGAGAGATACAGATGCACGTTCGTAGAAGCACTGGATTTGTCATGATCTATTAAACCAGTGATTCTCAATATTTTTGGTATGACACCCCCACAGTCAACACGACTGGTCCCTGCATCCTGCCCTGTGCCCTCCCCCTCCCTAGGTTATTAAGGCCACAATACGCCTTTTTATATTGCGGTGTTAGTACAGCATTTGTCTCGTGTTGCGTATGAGTGTGTTCTGTCGCCACAACATGGTGCTAACATTTCCTGCGTGCATTTTTCTGCACGGTATCGATGCTGCAGCCTGCGCACTGAGGGAGTTGAGAACCCCGCTGTCTTAAATAATTTAAGAACGTCGGGTCGCTGTGGTGTTTTCGCAGGAGACAAGAGCAAGCTGCAGAAGCTGGTGCAGATGGCCTGGACGTTTGTCAATGACAGGTGAGCGAGGTGACCGCCTCTCCCAGCTCGACTTCGCATAAGTGTCCACCGCTCATCCTGCACTAATTAACATGTCCTGGTGTACCTGTGGGCCCCGCATTCTGTAACTCGCGTTAAGCTTGTAGTTGCCTGTCTGTCAAAGCGCTGTCGACGTTTTACCCTGCTGCGCATTTCTTTAGATTTGGTTATAGGCCACGGTGTGGTGCCAGCAGAGAGCAGTGCAGCAAAATCGATTCTATGCCCATACGTCTATGATCTCCACCTTCACCAACCCTCACTGATCAGTGTGGTGAAGTATGGTAAAAAAACTCCCACAACCTCGCATGACGTGTGGGGAGTTCCTCATCCAGCAGCGGATTGTTAAAAGGGGTTGTACAGGTGTCTGCATGTGTGCATGCGTGACTACGCATGTACACATGCATCACTGCTCCCTTCCTAACGCCCCCCACCACCCTCCAATCCCTCTCCTCCTTCCCCTCTGCACACACAGCCTGTGCACGATGCTGTGCCTCCAATGGGAGCCCGAGATTATCGGTGTGGCGGTGATGTACCTGGCCGGCCGCCTCTGCAAGTTTGAGATCCAGGAGTGGACGTCGAGGCCGGCACACCGCCGCTGGTGGGAGCAGTTCGTGCAGGACGTGCCCGTCGAGCTGCTGGAGGGTGAGTGGGCTCGTGTGTGTGTGTGTGCGTGCGTCTGTTTGCGCGCACATGTGTGTGCATGTGTGTGTTTGCGTGCGCACACGTCTGTGAGGTCCAGTGAGTGTGTGTGTGTAAGTGTGCACATGTCTGTGTGGTACAGTGCGTGGGTGCAGAGGTGTAATGATTCACCCACTCCCTCCAGTGATTCGATCGTCAAAGTCACTTTTGAGCTCTGAGCCAGTGGTGGAAGTTTCACATTCCTTTGGTGGGGAAAAGTCTAAACGGGACAACCACTGTTGACTTCCCCACATAGTGGTACTCAATTTATTCACTCTCGCAGGGTTTGAACGTGCAACCTTCCGATTATGAGCCACTCGCTCTACCCCTGAGCTACATGGTGAGTCAATGATATATCTGAGAACAGCACTTAACCCGAACGGGCTGCAGCAGCGCCGTTTATCAATGCGGCACACGTTGCGCTTGGCTGTGTTTCCCTCGCAGACATCTGCCACCAGGTGCTGGACCTCTACTCACACTCGCCGCAGTCGCAGCAGCAGCTGCAGCAGCCCCCGTCGCAATCGCAGGCGATCGGGCTGGCACACACGCAGGCCTCATTTCAGGCTCAGGCCGTACAGCAGTTGTCCATGCAGCAGCAGCAACAGCAGCAGCTGCCTGGGGAGGCCCCGGTCGTCAGCATGCAAGCTGGACAAGCCATTGCGCAGTTGCAGCAGGCGGCGCAACAGCTCGTCGCGGCACAGCAGCTTGTGGCGCAGCAGCAGCAGCAGCAACAGCAGCAGCAACAGCAGCAGGCGCAACCGTCGCTGCCGCAAACACCAAAAAAACCATCACCTCCCTCGAGCTCTCCCCGGCCCCTTAAGCGCCCCTTGCAGGTACGAGACTCACCCGGTTTCTGTATCTCCAGGTATCTCTCTTCTCTGGTGTCCCTCTCACCCGGTATCTATTTTAACAAGATGTCCCTCCCACCAGGAGTCTGTATTGCTGAGTGCGTCACATACCAGCCTTGCCTCTTCCTGGGGCTGCTGAGTGATGCCTTGTCTGATAAACGCATGCTGTTGTCTTTCCTTTCTCGACTTAGGTCGATGTAAACACCCAAAAGTAAAAAGTAGGCTGGGTCAAATCCCAGAGTGAGAGGTAGGGCAGGTGTTAGTCTGGTTGGGTAGTTTGTTAAAGTTAGGGGGAGGGCGAGAGTTCTTTTAGCCTGTGCATACTTGGCCGAAGCCAGGCCACACGATAATTGTTTATCGTGTTCAGTGCTCTCAGTCTTCTTCTTCAACGCGTTTGTCCCAATCGTGGGGTCCGCTGTCCTTGCCAACCTTCTTTCTCCATGCTGCCCTGTCCTGCGCCATCTCTCTCTCCGTTCCATGGGCCACCATGTCCGATCACACCACATGACCCCACTCCTTTCACTATGCAGTCTGTCACCAGTAGTCTGTTGGCCAGTTACGCACTCTCCAGGAATCACTTTGCAGTTCTTCACTCCTTTCAGGTGCTTCCTCCTCACCAGAATAAAATCTATCTGGCTCTTCACCTCTACTCTCATAGGTCATCAAATGTACCTCCTGCTTCTGGAAGTAGGTATTCTCCACTGCAATATCATTTCCCTGGACCAATCGAAGAATGTTCTCTCCTCCTTCATTCCTACTGTCATATCAGCATCCTGCATGGTTCCTTTCATATCCGTCCATACTTCTTCCCACTCTTCCATTTAAGTCTTCACCCATCACCACTGCTTTATCTACCGGTAAGCTCTGAAACTCCAAGTCTAAGCTCTCCCAAAGTTCATCCTTCTCTTGCCCTCTGCAGCCCATCTGCGGGGCATATGCACACACCACGTTTACAACCCCACTGTCCAGTACCAGGCTGACTATCATCAGTCTGTCATTGACTCATCTGACTTCCACCACCTTTGTTTTCATCTTCTTACTCGGCAAAACTCCAACCCCATTTACCCTTGCTGTTGTTCCATGGTAGTACAATTTAAAACCACAGCCAATCTCTTTCGCTCTGCTGCCTTTCCATTTTGCTTCCTGGATGCATGCGATGTCGACTTTCCTCCTCCTCAAGCAGTCCACTAATTTCTGACATATTGTTCCAATATTCCACGTAGCCAACCTTTTCTTCCTCCTGAACAACCTTCTGCTCTTTCCATTTTGTTTGTCCGTCTTGATATGTGCAGACAACGTAACTACCACCGCCCAGGTCTCTGCACTCCCTGCAGCGGCAGAGTCATTAAGTCCCGAGATTCTTTGCACCCTCTGCCAACTTGAGGGCTGCAGGGGACTGAGTGCCATTTGTTTGCAAAGACTTTCCATTTTTTGACTTTAAGGTTTTACGGCCGGTTGCCACCAGATGCTAACCCTCCTCCTTGCTCCTGGCTTGGAACAGGCACTGAACAAAGTTCAGTGCTCGGAGTCCTCTGTCCAATCTGGTTAGAGGACAGTCCTCCACAATATGTAGTGTAGAATTGAGGGCCAGACTGCATACTTGGCAGTGAATGGACTCGGGGGGCATGTTTGTTATGTGGTGCTGTATCTTAACCCTACCCTAGCCTGAACAAACTCGCAGGCCAAGCCCCGAAACTTATCTTACCCTAGTCTAAACTGTGACACTTTGACTGGCTCCCCTTTTCACTTTTTGTTTGCTTTTCACGTTTTGTTCACAGTTCTACTGAGTGTGATTTTACCCAAAAGACTTTAGCCGCCAATACAACTCCTCACACCGGAGTGGGGCTCTGGTGAAACTTTGTAAATACGTGGTGACACAACCGTTCAATTGTGTTTAAACATTGCACGGTGCTGATTTTAATACATGTTTGGGTTTGTGATGTTTGTAGGCGTCTCCGGCAAGAGAGGAAAAAGTTGTCGGTGAGTTTTAATTTTTATTGCTACGGTCTGTTGATTTATTTCTTTTATTTGTTTACGTGGGAAAGAAACATTCAAGTGCAGCTGATTTACAAGAAATGCCTCACCTTTTGAAAAAATAAAATATAAAGTTTCGAGGGAAGGAAGCAGAAAATGTAATTTTTTAAATTATAAAATACAACTATTCTTTTTTCATGGGACCTCCTTTGCCAGTACCAAAATATGAGAATAGTTTTCCCCTTTTATTTGGCAACAAAACAGGTGTTAAGATGTTAAAACACCAAACTGAAACCTTTTACAGGGAACCATCTTTGCATTAACCACACTACTTGTGGTCAGAATGCAAACAAAAAATGTACTCTGATAATATATGCATTGTCTTTGAAACTGATTGGTTCACACCAGAGACAGCTTTCTTTTGAGCCTTGTCTCAAAACGATGTTAGGCTAAGGTGGTAGCTATCCGAACGGTTAAAGTTATTTTGATTTCTTTAAATTTCGATAGATTCTCAAATTAGTCTTGGCCAGTAGTAGCTAGTTTTGCACAAAACTTCAACATTATCAAAATCAATTGAGTGTCCTTGTTGGCACGCGTGTTCTGCTACTACTGACAATTGTATTTTGGAGAATGTAATATTTATCTAATGTTCTTTTAGTCTCGTGCTGATCATTCGTCCTGTTTGCCCAACATAACATGACAGAACCCCCACATACAAAAATACCAAAGCAAGACCCTTCTCCAGTCCACACTGCCGGGCCTCCCATCACAGGTGAGAGGGACCTACTGTTTGTCCTGATAAAAAATATATTCATAGCAACTATTTGCGAACAAAAATGTAAATGCAACTCAGGATGCTTGACACAACAAAGATGAAAAAGAGTGGAAACGGCCATCATCCCGAGACAAAGCAGACAATTTAATGTTCAAGGGAGACCTGGAGTTTAGTGTGTAAGCTCTTATGTACACAGTCTTCGTCTGTACCACCATCCCCCCATGCAAGGGTCATGTTAACCCATGACAACATTTACTGATTAAAAAACACGGAATATTACATATGTGCTTTAATTAAGAATCTAGTGGGAAATCTGTTCATTCATGCATTGTTACAGTCCTAGCCGGCACACATGATCCTAGTAACCAGCTTAATCAAAACATTTGGAGGCCACGACTGGACAAAAATAATGAAGGATAAACAGGAATGGAATAAAATGGGGTGGTGGCGGGAGGGACCTTTATTCAGCTGTGGCTGACAATAACGTCGTCCATCAAGATAAAATCCTCATTTGAAAGAGAGACCTTGGGCGTCCGCTGTCAAGAAATATTATATTGCACCATTGGTGAACTGCTTGCTGGTCGTCCTCCCTCCCCACAGAGCGGCGCACATCGGCCAACACGTCCGTAGTGTCCATGGACCTGGACTCGGGCGTGGGGAACGGCAACGACATCGCCAAGGGCCCTGCACTGCCCCCCTTCCCCCCACAGCCCCCTCCTGCCCGGCCCCCACCCCCACCGCACCCCTACGCCCCCCCGGGCAGCGGCTCCTACTTGAGCGCCAGCGACGGCTACCAGAGCGGAATGGCGGCGGAAGCCGGCGGGGCCGGGGGCTACGCGTCCGCCCCGCATTCTTATCCGCCCCCCGGTCACATGAGCTACCCGCCCCCTCTCCCGCCACACAGTTACCCCCCTCCGCCCACCTCCTACCCGCCGCCACCGCCCCCCACCAGCCTGCCGCCCCCGCCGCCGTCCGCCTACCCCCCGCACACGTACGGCACGAGCGCGGGATACGCCTTGCCTCCCCCACTGCCCCACCACCACCATATACCGCCCAACCCGGGTGGGGGTGCCGGCGTGGGTCCCCCGCCACCGCCTCCACACCACGTGCTCCCCCACCCGCCCCCCCTGCCCCCCGTGCCCCCGCAGGCTGGGTACCACCACCAGCCGCCGCCCCCCCTGCCGCCTCACCCTCCGCCCCCTCCCTCGCCTGGCGGAGGGCCACCCCCGCACCACGGCCCACCTCCGCCCCACCCGCACCACCCTGGGGGGCCACCGGGTCAACCCCCCACGGCGGCGATGCCCCAGGTGCGCATCACCTGCATGCAAGAGGCGAGAGGTCGCAACGCGTGGAAGAGGTGATGGTGGCGCCAGAGCCTTTGCTTTGGCGCATTGACAAGGATTTTATTTTTGCACCAATAACTACATTATGTTAAATCCAGCGCTGTCAGTACGTTAATTAAGAACCATGCGCAAACGCGAATGTAACCGTCGTAGCATCTGGACAGTTGAACAACAGATCTGAGCAGGTTTATGGGGATTAGAGGTGGCGTCTTCCTGTATGTGGTTGCTCGGGAGGTCAAGTGGTGATTGTTTGGCAGAGTTGCCCGTTGTCCTTGAACTTCCATGAGTTCTATATAGAATTCTAGGTTGGTGGCATGTACGGGAACATAAGTGGCTTGTGTTGCGAATAATTTGTTTGGAATCGCACCACCTTCGTGGTGAAGGATGCTTGAGATCGATCATGTGTAATGCGTTTTACAAACCAGATGCTGACTGGCTGCGATGGTGCGTTGCTTGTAATTTGGGTTGATGAGAAGGGCAGTCGTCAACATTGCCTTATTATCGCCTGTGCCCATGGTCTTCTGCCCAGTACACTATTTAAAGCTTGCTGTTTTTATTTTATAAACTACTGTGTACTGCAAAATGACTTGATCCGGAGGTGTGAATGTCATCCTCAATGCAGCGATAACAATTATATTTTGACATTTGAAATAAAAATTGAACATGCTTGGAAAACCTGTATAAGGCTCGTTTTTTAATACGCCTCAAATTTATCTCATTACTAGATGTGATACATCGATTTGTCAATTAAAATTTAATATGCTCACAATATTAGACACCACGTGTGAGAATCCATAAACTTTCCATTCGTATTTTTTATGATCGGTTAATCAGCAATGGTTTTTAACCTGGGGTTGCGAGATGCCCTTTCTGGGGGTGCGAGACATGCCAGATTTTTTTTAGAAGGTAAATCATCGAAACAAATTAACCACGGGCACATAGGTACAACTACTTTCTTTAATCAAACCTATGTACTGTATTAACATTTTTTTTTTACGATTGAGAACCAAAAGGGCCCAAGGCTGCAGTGAAGGTTAAGAATCACTGGGTTAATGTAAACCCTGCAGATACTGAAGGTGCTGCAGTGAAACACAACGACAAAACAATCTTATTTTTAACTAAATAGTCACCCCCAAATCATTACGCTTCATCACAAGGGGGCAAGCACGAATTTTTGCAAAAATTTAACATTCAATATAGCAATGCCCTGAAAGGAATACATATATAATGCATACCTGTCAACCCCTTATTAATGCCTACTTTATTACAAACCAATTCAGACCTTAATGGTTACCCCGTGCCCTTATAAATCTCAACGTTCATCCTACAAAATCCCATCACAAGGGAGAAACACAAAAAGACACAAAAATGTGCCCGTATTGAAACAGCTGTATGCCGTATGGACCTCAAAGCTCAATTTCCCTGTACAATAATATGGGTAAACCATCTCGGTTGACAGGTATTATAATGGAAATGTTTTGGGCAATGGGCCTTTACAGTTTGTATAAGTGACCACAGGATATTGTGTTGTTTCAAGTCCAGCTCTGATAAAAAATAAAATAGCAAACGTCCTGGATTTTTGGTAATGCGATGACTGTAACGCATTATTATTCCTGCATCTTCGATGAGCGTGGTTGACTACGCACGGTGCGAAAGAAGTTCAACATACAAACATTCTACAGCCAGGTAACTCATTGCCTCACCCCAACGCACTCCTGCAATCCATTCCTTTGGAGGCAAGGGTTGATGGAGCACGTACAGATTTGTTGAAGCTCCTCAACCCGCTGAAAGTTTGAAGTGACCAGCAGATGTCAGTACAGCAAGTGGGTTCTGGTATTTATATTTCATTTTACAAGAGGATCAGGAGAAGGCGCATTGCGCGAAAAGCATGAAACATGACAGGCCAATAAAGCCAAGAGTACCTGGCGACAGTCCATCACACGTGCGGCGAGGTGAACGCTCACGACTCCGCACAGACCGATACAAGAATCCATTGCTGTGTGGGCCATCTGCTGGCCACTCCACAGCCCGAGATGAAAGCAGCTAAACATGGAACATTTACACGCATTCAGATGTAGCAGGACTCTCTTAGAAGCAGAGTCTTGACAGTCAGGCTTTCCTGGATAAACAAATTGCATTGTCACGTATATTATTGTTCGTAGTAGTTGTTGTTGTTATAAATGTTATACTGTAGTGATTAGAGAATTAAGCCGCTTGGCCTACGTCAGCGCCGTGGCTGCCCGGGCCGCTACCGCTTCTCCCGTCTCCGTCGTCTCGTTCGTCTCGCGTCTTCCAGCAACTAACACGGCTAAACAAGGACGACTACCATGGCGCTAGAACTCGACGTGTTCGTGGGGAACACGACGCTCATTGACGAGGAAGTTTATCGGCTCTGGCTTGACGGACATTCGGGTGAGACGACCGCGTACGGCGAACCCAGCCCCGCGGGCCTGGGGCCACCCAAGCTGGGGGAGAAATCAGGCCAGACCGTAGGCTTCGCGGGTACCCCGTGTCCGGCCTTCTAACACGTTTGTGTGCCTCGTGTTAGTTTAAATGCGTGCCATCTAGGGGTCAGAGCAGTCACCATATTTAAGTGCGTTCTATATCTTTTTTAAAATTTTAATTATAATTTTCAAGCATGGTTAATGGTCGTAACAAGAGTGGAAATGCGCGGAGTTGGGACCCGATGCAAGTCTGTCCGTGGTGCTGATCGTTGTTCGCACGGCCACGATTATTGGTGGCGACTTGGGGAGGGAGCAGAGGTCACAAACGGGGTTTGATTCCTTACCCGATAGCCGGCCGCACCAGGGTCGCAAACGGGTACCCGTACCCGGCCGTACCCGGTCGTACTCTACCCGTACCCGGCCGGGTACCCTACTCGTACCCGGCCGGGTATCGGGTACCTGATTGCGACCTCTGGGATGAAGCCATGTTGCAGGCGCGGGTGGGTTGATTCTAGGAACTTGAATTGTGAGAAGAGACAAGACGTTGGGAAATGAGTGACAAACGGTGACTCACCAGTGACTCACGGCCTACCCGTACCCGTACCCGGCCGCACCAGGGTCGCAAACGGGTATCGGGTACCCGGTTGCGACCTCTGGGAGGGATGCCTTCGTCCAGCAGTGGATAGACCATGGCCTGACGATGCTGGTGCGTTAAGGGCCACAGCGGGGGGTGGAGGGAATGTGTGCCCGTTGCAAAGAGCCATAATCTCTTTATTTGTGTGCGTTTATATCATCGCCAGCTACGGACGAAAGTTTCTCACGATCCTGCGATTGTATTTGAGTCGTCAAGTTGACAAGGGGTGGGGAACCTTTTTTCTGCCAAGGGCCATTTGGTTACTGTATTTATAACATCATTCGCGGGCCATACAAAATTATCAACTTAAAAATTAGCCTGTTATATTTGGTCAAACATTTAATTAACTAACCCCTAATGCGATGGGCTGGAACTGCTTGTCTTTGGCGAGGCGTGTGATGTTAGCTGGTATTGATGATGTTGCTGCTACTAACAACTACTTTTCCAGGTTTGCTCCTAGATTTATTGAATTTCGAGTCCCGCCTGCGGTTGCCTTGGCAGGGCCAGACCAGATGATTTCGCGGACCTCATACGGCTCACGGGCCGGACGTTCTCGAGCACCTGCACGCAGTTTCACCGCTCCGTCTCCTGAACTCTTGGAACCCTCGTACTACCCTGGCTGTCACTCCGCTGTTATTCGTCTCGCCCACCGGCCATCGTGACTTGTAGCCACGACGTGCCCTGTCCAACAAGCACACCGTTTGAATTGTAATTCACCTTTAATCAAGGTGCGGAATTCTCAAATATTAGTTTGAATTTACCATAACCTGCCAATGTTCTCAAATCCCCCTTTTGGCACTCAAAGCAATTGCAAAAACGCATCTCCCCATCCTTCGCTGCACACTTTTCAATTAGTGCTGCATACTTTTCAACTAGTGCACTCGCTGGAGTGTTGGACTTATACGCCTGCTTGCTGGAGACGAGGTCTCCAAATTGTCCTTTCCAGGGATTCTCAAATCCAAGTCCTTGCAAATCACCAAGGCCTTGCAAATCACCAAGGCCCAATGATACTCATCTCGTTCATTGGCAACCTACAATATTGAACTGCTGTACATCTTCCACGAAGCTCATGGCCCATTCTCAATCGCGTCTGCACAAACCATGGAAGATGCGGATACCTGATCCAAAAATGGAAAATTAAAAACTCCAGTGTGCGCCTGTGGCCATCCAGAAAGAACCTACAACATATAAAGACGCAATGCCCGATCCACAAATAGGAAAGACACATTACAACGATACACTGCTAATCCTGACGAAGTTATCTGGCTTGACCACCTAAATGTAAAATTGTAGTTGTTGCTCTGCATCTCCATCAGCCATACAAAAGAAGAAGACTGCTGTACAGCCTTTGTATTATAAAAACATAATTTTGTTTTGTTTATTACCCATGGTTGTCACGAAACTCTATTTGAGTAAATTCCCTGGTAGGTCACCATCGACACACACATTGGGTCAACTTAAATCGTGGACACTTGGAACTTAAGGGAGAAACAAGCACTGTGGTCCGAGAAGCCCCAAGCGAGCACAAATAATACCCCTTATCCACTGACACATCTGAGCCGAGCCTGCACGGGGCCCTCACGGTACAGGTGCTTTTCCACTGGCTATTCACTGTGCCGAGCCAGGACCAAACCATCTGAATCTGGCTCGACCACGCAGGGTCAGGTGCTGGTTTAATAATTTTAATAACCCATGTATGACCGCCAAAATCTGGAATTTGACAAAAAAGGGTCCCATTGCATCATTCGGTACTCTTGAGCGTGTGACCTTAGGGTCGCGCGTTTATGATGCGTGACGTCTGTGGCATGGCTCAGCTTCTGCATTAGAAATACAGCCTGGTGGTCCTCCGAAGCTGCGAAAAGCTTGCTCGGCCCCAGCATGGCTCATTTGCCCACAGAAAAAGGACATAGGGGTCTTGAGTTGAGGCAGTGCGTTGAAACGCTTCGTTTAGCCACCGTTGCGTTTCCTCTGCCGCAGTGACCGACGCGGTGGGGATGCGGACACAGAGCGGCACTCTCCTACAGCGATCGGGTGCCACCATGGCACTGCTGCACAGCGACACCATGGACCAGTTCCGCTCGTGCCAGATGCTGGAGCGCCTGCTGCACACGCCGCACAAGCTGGCCAACCAGCTGCTCTACCAGATCCCGCCTCTCATGCGTGCCACGCTCATCGAGAAGTAATCTCCCTCACGGCAGCGCACGGTTTGTGTGCAGTCGACAGCACTAGACAACATTAACATTTACCTTTGTTACAATAGTACGGTTAGGGTGATGAGCAATGTTCTACGTTAATACGGACCGTGTCCGTCCAGTGCTCGCTGAGCTGCATTGGCTTCCGGTTGCCAAACAAATACATTATAAGGTTGCACTCATTACGGAAAGCCCTTGCCACAAATGAACCACAATACCTTGATAATCTCGTCAAGGAGCATAAACCATCATGCAAACGCCGGTCATCCTTGTAGCGATTTTTGACTAACCATCGAACATAGACGGTCACTGCATCGTGTGCTTGCAGATGTGCTTCTGCGGCCGTCTGGAACGCTCTTCCTGCGGATATGAGGAAGCTACTGGAGTTATGCACTTTTA